TCAAGACAAAAGGGGCTTTCTTTACATACCATTATTTATATAAACTCATGTATTTTAATTTAAAAAAAATAAAAAAATATGATGAAAAATTGAAAAAAATACATGTTTTTTACTTTACTTGAAAAATCTTTTACTCATCTACAAAAGCGAATGAAAAAAACTGCTAAATAGATTCAAAATTTTGTCCTGAGTTTAAAAATACCAGTGTTTACGTGCTTTTTTGCTTTTTTTTGTATGTTATAGGGCTATAGGTACAAGTAGGATATTGCGGTTTCAAAACATACATTTTTAAAATTTATCAATAGTGACATTGTAACACTATTATCTGTCATAAATTTCTGAATAACACCCCACATGTACATATTTTTTTTAAAGTAGACAACCCAGGGTATTCAATATGGGGTATGTCCAGTCTTTTTTAGTAGCCACTTAGTCGAAAATACTGGCCAAAGTAAGCATTCATATTTGTATGTGTGTGAAAAAGTAAAAAACTAAATTGAATGCTAATTTTGGCCAGTGTTTGTGACTAAGTGGCTACTAAAAAAGACTGGACATACCCCATTTGCAAAACCTTGGGTTGTCTTCTTTTGCAAATGGTATGCCATCATGGGGGTAATTCTCATTCCTGGGCTACCATACGCTCTCAAAGGCAACGTAACCAACCTGGCCATTTCAATGTAAAAATATTTGACCCATATATTTGACCTTGTAACTTTCAAAAATGCTATAAAACCTGTACATGGGGGGTACTGTTTTATTCGGGAGACATCGCTGAACACAAATATTAGTGTTTAAAAACTGGTGTATCACAACAATTATATCATCAGTAAAAGTGCCGTTTGTGTGTGAAAAATGCAAAAAAAGTAACTTTCACTGACAATATCATCGCTGTGATATGTTTTACTGTTTTGAATCACTAATATTTGTGTTCAGCGAAGTCTCCCGAGTAAAACAGTACCCCCCATGTACAGGTTTTAGGGTGTCGTAGAACGTTACATGGTAAAATACAGTGCTAGCAAATTAAATTCTCTGGAATTTCGGCCTGGGTTGGCAGGCAGGTCCCTCAAATTGCAATCAATAAAATTACTAAATTATGTAAAAATATTACATAAATACGCACGTAGAATTTAAATATATATGCATATTTATATATTTGAAGTCTACGTGTATATTTATATAATTATGTAATTTTGTATATGGACATATGTATATTTCATATTATTTTTATTTATTTATATATACACAGATATATATACAAATTCATTCTAAGTGTATTTTGATATAAATATATATATATTAATTTTAAAATACAGTTAGAATAAAATTTCATATAGATATATATTTTTTTTTAAATTTTTATTATTATTTAAAAAAAATGTATTTAATTTAAATTACTTATTATTTATATTTTATAATAATATATATATATACAATATATATAGTTATTATATATATTATATATATACGTGTGTAATTTAATTATAAGTGTATTTTTATATTAATATAAGTACATATTAATATAAAAATACACTTAGTATGGCATTATATATATGATATATAGACATATATTATATATATATAATATATGTCTATATATCATATATACACATATATAATTGTTATTATTTTTTTTTATTAACCCTAACTTTATTTTTTTTTTAATGATTTTACACTAGCAGGGAGACTGCCTGTCAGCACAGACAGTCCCCCTGCAGGCAGACACATGGACACCTATTGTGACCATGTGATCGCTGTGTTAAGCGATCACATGGCCACAGGGGTCCTAATTCAGTGTGGGGAGACTGTCTGGGCTGCAGGCAGTCTCCCCACAACCGGAGCCACGCTGATCGCCGCCGGGGGAACGACGGCGATCAGGTAAGTAACTAAGACCGTTAGGACGGTTCAGGACCGTCATCGGTCTGCAAGGCAAAAATGCAGATGACGATCCTGAACCGTCCTCGGTCGTGAAGGGGTTAAAGAATATTAATTCCCCTAAAACTGGCAAGGTCACAATAAAAATTAAGACAACTAAAGGTAAATATGTAGATACATAAAAGCAAGAAAAAAAAAAAGCAACAACAACTGTGACATTTATTGTGTGCATGCAATCCATTTTGATAATTTACTATACCTTTAAATATTAAAAAATCTAATTGTATGTAGAGCGGATCAAAAATATTTCCAAGGCTCAAGTCTGTAAATTGTTCTATGAAACAATATTCAAGGATGTGGAATTTATATTGTCTGACGCCTGGGACAATATGTTGTGTCAGAATGAGAATGTGCCAGTTACTGATTGGGTGTCGCAATGTGTGTCAAAGAAAGTGTGTGTGTGTGTAGATTAGTGGGGTACACATATATATTAACCCCTTAAGAACTCAGCCAAATGTACACGTTGTGATCAAAACGTAAACAAAAACTTGAATTTGCGCTATATGTCTGTTCAGGCGTAATTCGCCTCTTTCATATTATGTGAACCCACACTTTTTATATATCATTTTATTCAGGGGAAACAGGGCTTTCATATAACATCAAATATTTAGATATGAAACATAATTTAATATGAATAAAATATAAAGAAATGGGAGAAAATAAGAATTTTTAAAAACAATTTAGTTCTACGTGACATTCTAACTGTGAATATCATAATACTGTTTGCTTTTACTGCAATAAAATACACATACTTGTATTTAGCGATGTCTCACGTGTAAAACAGTACCCCCTATGTGCAGGTTTTATGATGTTTTGGGAAGTTACAGGGTCAACAATAGCATGTTACATTTTTCAGTTTTTTTACATTGAAATTCGCCAGATTGGATACGTTGCATTTGAGACCGTATGGTAGCCCAGGAATGAGAATTACCCCCATGATGGCATACCATTTGCAAAAGTAGACAAGACAACCCTAGATATTGCAAATGGGGTATGTCCAGTCTTTTTTAGTAGCCACTTGATCACAAACACTGGCCAAAGTTAGTGTTAATATTTGTGTGTGAAAAATGCAAAAAACTAATTTGAACACCAATTTTGGCCAGTGTTTGTGACCAAGTGGCTACTAAAAAAGACTGGACATACCTCATTTGCAATACCTTGGGTTGTCTAATATTGCAAATGGTATGCCATCATGGGGGTAATTTTAATTCCTGGGCTATTATATGGTCTCAAAGGAAACGTAACCAATCTGGCGAATTTCAATGTGAAAAAACTGAAACACAAGCCTTATATTTGACTCTCTAACTTTTGAAACCACCATAAAACCTGTACATGAGGGGTACTGTTATACTCATGAGACTTCGCTGAACACAAATATTAGTGTTTCAAAACAGTAAAATTTATCACAACAATTATATCGTCTGTGTAAGTGCCATTTGTATGTGAAAAATGCAAAAACTGTCATTTTCACTGACGATATAATCGTTGTAATACATTTTACTGTTTTGAAACACTAATATTTGTGTTCAGCAAAGTCTTCTGAGTAAAGCAGTACTCCCCATGTACAGGAGAATGTGAACAAAGCAGGTATCTCTCATCTTGATAGCACCTTATTGGCCTCGGGGGCCTTGGTTTCCCCTGCTCCAAAGTCTTTGTGTGGAACCTCCACTTCAGGTCCCGGGAGTTCCGGACCTACTGTTCCAGGGTGTTATGCTAAATAATTGGAACGCAACTGCAGAAAAAACTTTTAAATACTTCAATTTATTTTTTAATTGAATTGCAAAAGTAGATACTGTAGCTTTAAAACCTTAGCAGGTTGTCAGTTGCAGACAGAAACAAGCCACAGAGGTTTTGCATAAAGCCAAGCAAACTTAATTAAGGATAGTGCAGAATTAGTTGCAGAATCAGATTTAAATTAATTGTAGCAGAAAGAAGAAGCTTCCTGAGTGCAACAATGAGGCAGGTTATAATTGCGGGCAGACTGAAAGCCAATTTGATATGAAGAAAATGAGTACTTAGCTTCTGTGGAAGCAGGTTCAGCAGTATTGTTGAATCCAAAATAAGCAGTCATTAGAAGTACAAGTGGAGGTCCATTAATCAATCCGAGGTCGAGGAGAGGAAAAGGTAGGTAAGTAGTTTTCAGTCCAGGTACGGTACACAGGTAAAGCTTTAGAGACAATTTGGTAGCTGGTCAGAGGTTCTCGGGAACTCGATCAATAATCCAGCAATTTGAATCTGGCGCGGTCTTCCTATGTAGCGTGAGGAGACCGCGTCAGAGAAGGGGGCGGGGCAGAGCTCCGTCAACCCGGAAGTGGCCTGAATCGGCGAAACCGGCAGGTATAACCTGACACAGGGCCCGGTGTTGAATCCAGATCCCATATTTCCTCAATCTCATGGCATGGAGACTGAAAGGGAAAGGCTTGCAAGCAGAGGCTTCTCTCAAGCAGTGGTAGACACTATGCTGAAGGCAAGAAAGAATTCCACTTCAGCCACCTACTATAGAGTATGGGAAGTCTTTTCCACCTGGGCTCTTCCTAAATGCATTGATATACAGAATCCCTCTGCCATGGATATTTTGGAGTTCCTACAGTCTGGTCTTGATAAAGGCCTAAGTTATAATACGTTAAAGGTACACGTTTCAGCATTATCTGCCTTGACCAATCACAGGTGGGCCTTGGATGCGGATGTTATCAGGTTCATTAAGGGAGTTCTTAAAATAAAACCTCCAATTAAGTCTTTGGTCCCCTCTTGGAATCTGCCTCTGGTCCTCAATGCCTTGAAACTGGAGCCCTTCGAACCTTTTGAGTCAATTCCCCTGCATTTCCTCTCTATCAAAATGGCCTTGTTAATTGCTTTAGCTTTTAGCAGGAGAGCAGGGTCGAACTGGCCCACCGGGATACCGGGAAATTTCCCGGTGGGCCGCGGCACCTGGGGGCTGCGCATGTATGTGCCACTGGGTGGCCGGTCCGGTGGCACACACTCAGAGGGGCCGGGTGGCAGCCTCGCCTGTCTGGCGGCACTGCTGTCACTGATGATGCTAGGGGCTGAGGGAGGAGGAGCATGTCTATCTACCATGCTCCCTCACGGTTCCCACAATCCCCAGCACAGTATGATGTATGGATGTATCAGTATACTGTGCTGGGGATTGTGGGAACCGCGAGGGAGCATGGTAGATAGACATGCTCCTCCTCCCTCCGACCCCAGCATCATCAGTGACAGCAGTGCCACCGGACCGGCGAGGCTGCCACCCAGCCCGGCGGCTCCAGCCTGGAACGCGGCCGCCCCCCCTGAATTCTCTAGGTAAATGGGGGGGAATAAAACAGAGAGGGGAATAGACACAGGGGAAGGAGGGAGAAAGAGACAGTGGGGGAGAAAGAGGAGGAATAGAGAGATGGTGGAGGGAGGAGAAAGACAGAGGGGAAAAGAGATATGGAGGAGGGAGAGACACAGGGAAAGGGGGGAGAAAGAGACAGAGGGGGAGAAAGAGGAGGAATAGAGAGATGGTGGAGGGAGGAGAAAAAGACAGAGGGGAAAAGAGATTTGGAGGAGGGAGAGACACAGGGAAAGGGGGGGAGAAAGAGAGCAGAGAGGGAGAATAGAGGAGGAATAGAGATGGTGGAGGAGGAGAAAAAAGACAGAGGGAAAAGAGATTTGGAGGAGGAGGAGCACAGGGAAAGGGGGGAGAAAGAGACAGGGGAAAAGAGAGACACAGAGGGAGAAAGGAGAGAGACACACAAGGGGAGGGGGAGAAAGAGGCAGAGGGGGAAGAGACAGACTGGGAAGGAGAGGGAAGACATTGACACAGAGGAGCAGTGAGGGGGAGAAAAAACATACAGAGTGACTGGGGGGAGACAAAAAAGGCACACAGAGGGGCAGGAGATAAAAAGAGACACACATAGGGGCTGTATATATCACTGGTGGATGGGGGGGAAACAAGGCAATTCCCCCCACGAGGCTTTCCACTGCTGGCCGATCTCCCTCCCCGTTCCGCAGGCACCGTGCGGGCAGCCGGCAGGGAAGGGAGGAAGAGAGGACCCGGGAGCTCAACCTGCAGCTCCCCTGGGTCCTTCTTGCGCGAGCACAGAGCATTGCCGCAGTTACCACGGCAATGCTCCGGCTCTCACGAGGGTGAACTCTAGCCCTGGAGCTAGAGTTCACTCTCACCACTGTGACCACAAGGGATTCCGAGAGGTTTGTCTTGCCAAGGAACCTCCTCTTTTTCTGCATCCTCTATCTGCTAAAGTCTCAGGCATTCCCTTAGCAGTTCATCTTTGGGAGCCATCTTCATGATGTACTTATGGATATGCTCTGTGTTTCATCCAGGACTGTGGCTTTGACACTCATCAGGCTCCGACCTCCTTCCCTCCGGCAGGTGTACAGTCTCTGGGTGCTGGATTTCAGGTGGAATCCTCCATTCATAGTCGGTAGTTTTCTGGTCTT